AGTTCTCAGAAAACTTTTACATGCTAAAAAATTATTAAAGCCCCTTTAATAGATTTTTCATTTTTTCTGTTATTGGACTTTTAAGCTCCAGGTTTTCTACCTGGTTCCTTTTCTATCTCTTCATTAATATACTCTTTTTGTTAATATATCATTATGATAGTTTACTTCAGTTATTTTGGCATGGTTTCTTTTAGGTCTGGGCATATTTAAGATTGTAGAGCTTTCTCTATGTGTCAATGTCTGTACTTCTTCAGGGATGGTTTCTATGTTAGTCAGCTTTCCATCACTTATGACAAATGATAGGGATAATCAACTTATAAAGAGAAGAATTTTGTTTTAGCTCACAATATTATAGAATTTGGTCCAAGATTGGCTGATCAGAATATCAAGGCAGAGACACAAAGTGGAGCAACACTGCTCACCTCATGGCCAAGAAGTGAAAAAGAGAAAGAGGAAGAGATTAGGGTTGCTTAAGGACATAATGACCTTGTAAGTAGCCCTTATCTCTTAAAGTTATCAAGACTTCCAAGAGCTCCAAATTGGGGACAAATACTCTAACATATGCATCTTTGGGGAGGCACTTAACATCCAAACGACAGCAATTTTTTTCCTATGAATGAGCCTGTTTATTGTTTTCTGTTTATTGTTTTTTGTGTGTTTCCTGTTTATTGTTTTTTTTGTGTTTCTTGCTTAATATTGGGCATTTAAAATTTTATAATGTGTTCATCTGAAAATCAGATTCTTTCCTGGCTCAAGGCTTTGCTTCTGTTGCTTCCTGAGGACTATAATTATCAATTTGTTTAGTGTCTTTTTCAAGCCATTTTTGAAAGACTGTGTATAGTGTCTCAATTATCTGTTCTATTATGTCTATAGTCAGCAAGTGCCTTGACAGAAATTTTCATCCCATAGAATCTCCCCACTTCCCCCAAAAAGAAAGAAATAAAGAAACAAGGAAGCTTGCAGCTTTAGGATGATCTAGAATGCTCCTCCAATGATAACCTATATTGTTCATCATTTGTAGATTCTAAAGTCTCTCATCCACTTGCTTTATCCTGTCAGTGTCTGGCAGAGATTTCCTAGAAAATCTAGGAGCAAAAAGCAAAGCAAAACAAAGAAAAAACCAAAAAACCCTCAAACATCTTAAATTTGTACATTGGCTCTATAAATTGACACTGTTTCTGTACTTACTCTGGCAATTTACAACTCTGCCTTAGCTTTCACTTCCTGCTTTCACTAAGCCTAGACATCAGCCAAAAGTGAAAGCTTAGGTCTTCTCATGTCTTTTCTATGCTTGTGTCTTATCCTGGATATAGCTGTGGCTTTTGAAATTCCCAATATACACAGGTGCTTCTGAATGTCCTAATTTCCCAAAGAAACTCTCTCTCCAGCATTTCCTTTTATGCTTTTCATGTTGTGCTGTGTGGCTCAACTATTATCCTTTGCCCAGGTGGCTGTGGATTATTCATTAATCCTACAATGCTTTTGAGACATTCCCATTGTTTTTCTGCTCTGATTAAGTTCCAAGTTAGGCACAACAAGGAGTAGCACTTTTCACCAGTCCTCAGGTAGTACCAAGGTAGGTCAGAATGGACAAATACAATTATTTAGAGGGTCTCTTCTGTTCCTCTACAATCCAAGGGCCTCCTGGGTCCTATGTGGGAACATGGACTACTCTATCTTTAAGATTGCTACAGTGCCTGGGTAGGAGTAAAAAGTAGAAGCAAGTAAAATGCCCTGAAAATCTCCTACCATTTTAGAATGGACTTTTTCATGATTCAGTATTTGTTTGGTTGTGATAAATCTTTGTTTTCTATTTCTGACAAAGTCAATTCTGACAATTTCTGCTTAATTTTTCAGTGTTTCTATGGAGGGACAGGAATAAGAACTACCTAAGTGGTCATTTGCATTGACATCACTCCAGCCCACTTTTTGGTGGTGTACAGCACTATTCTAGGGTAGATGATGTGAAAATAATATTAGTACCATCCATGAACATGCTGGATCCCTTCTGGGCTCTTATTGGCTATTTGGTATTGCACTAAATTCCTATGAATTAGTACTTCCATGACTAACCATAATTGTGGATTAAATCTGAAAATGAAACAGTGGTATCTGAGAGTATATAGAACACCTTGGACTGATAGTTTAGGTATCTATTTCATCTGAGATAGCTTAGTAGATATTTTTGTCACTATCACACTTGCTCTAACAAATGAAATACAAATTAAATAACTGTAGATGTAGTCCTAGAAATTTAAGAAGTAGTAAAAGGCAAAGGAAAACATAAACATAAAGGTAAATATAAATAAGTATTGTCTATATAAATTACGTAATCTTTTGATGGGTTTAAAAATGTTAAAGCATGACAACAATTACACAAAACTGAGAAGTTGAGTACATGAAGGTGAAATATTTTAAAGTCCTTGGGTCATCTCTTGGGATGACCCTCTTTTAGTCTACTGAAAGTGTTTATCTTTTCTTATAAACTTTACTACCACTTTCACTACAAAAAATGAAATTCTTACAGTGTTCAGAAACTAGGAAAAGTATTACTTCATGGAGTCTAACAAGTCAAAGATTAATTTTGTAATAAAAAGATTACAAAGTAAGAGTAAATCCACAGAGTAAGAAAAACATTCACAATACATATATGACAGGAAATACATATTGAGAACATAGGAAAGCTGTTAAAAAATCAATAAGAAAAAGATAGATAATCTAACTAAGGAAAAGACAAAATACTCTAAAAGGCATTTCACAAAGAAGTATATCCAAATACACTTCATATAGGCTCATTTCATTGTCCAGGAAGTGCAAAACAAATTGACAATGTGATACTCCTATATACAGAAGAATGTGTAACAAAAATAGAAGAAAAAGAACACAAAACACAACTGAAAATATCAATTGTTGGCAAATGTGGAATAATTACATTTTCATTCACTATTAGTGAGCATGATAATTGATGAAATAAAAACTATCTGTCTCTGTATATCAATGCCAAATACATATATGATCTGTTGTGGCACAGTAATACTAGTCCTAGGAACATAATAAAATCTAATGTATAATTATAGTCATCAAAGGATAGGTACAGGAATATTCATAACAACAACATCTGTAATTACTACAGACTTTCCAACCTAATGTCAAGCAACAACAGAATAAACAAATTTTGTAATTATAAACAAAATAAAGTACTACATTCTTAAATATAGATCAATCTTACAAATATGTTAAGCAAGAAGCCACACGAGAATATACTATGTATGTATATATATATATGTATATGTATATATACACATATATTATGTTAAAGAGGGGAAAACTGGTGGTAGTATTCAGAATAGTTATTTATGTGTCAGGCTGTAATGGCTGAGCAAGAAGAAAGCGTCTATGTTCCTTGTAAATGTTTAAAATCTTAGAATGGGACATAGTTACACAAGTTGGTTCACTTTGTCACCAAATCACACACTTAAATATTATTGTACTTCTTTTGTATATGTGCTATCCTTTAAAAAATTTCACACCTATGCATTTAGAAAAAAAAATAAGTTGTATCTTATCCATGTTGGCAAGGATGCAGGAAAGGATTGTTTCAATACTAGTGGAAGGAATATAAATTGTAACTACTACTTAGGGGACTATATCAAGGGAATCTGCTTCTAGGGTTTAAAATGTGTGTGGAGAATATTCACTCTTTGTATCTCTACCTTAAAGAATACTTGGACATCTGTACAAATAGGCATCTACACATATGCTTATGGTAGCATTGCTTATCTTAATAACAAAAGAAACAAACTACATGTCTCAGGGCAGGGAAATGATTATGTATAGTCTGAGAACTACCATATTACACTTTAAAAGAACAAAGTAGATTTACAGGTAAACAACAGAACGATCTCAACTTGAGTGCTAAGAAAACACGTTTCACACATGGAAACTCACAGGAACTAGGAGTCATTGTGTACGGACTGGGTTTGTAACTAGTGTCTGCAAAGGATATTAGCTAATTCGTTATGTTTTTAAAAATTTTGCGTGAATATTATTTCATTTGTGTAATCTGAAATGCATAAAAAGCCATTAGAATGACTTTGGAAGAATAACCCAAATCAGCAACACTGGATGCCTCCAAAGAGGTGAACTGAGAACTGGAATGTGAAGGTTTTTCACTGCATACCCGTCTGTACTGAATGACAGGCAGACACTGTAGCGCATGCCTGTAATCCCAGCTGCTCCAGGGGAAGGAGGATCCTCTGTGAGGCTTGCCTGATCAAAAGGCTAAAACCCAATTTGAAAAGCAAAGTAAAATAAAAACACAGAGGTTATGGCTAAGTAGTGGAGCTCTTTCTTAGCAAGTGGTAGGTCCTGAATTCAATCCCCAGTACCTCTAATAAAAATTTATTTCAACTATAGACTGTAGCATCTATGGGGAGGAGGGGGATAAAAAAATAACTAAATGATGCCCAATTTCATGTAAACCACACAAATACATTAGGTGTAGTGGTTACGCAATAACAACGCAGAGAAACGGTATGGGGGAGGCCAGAATTCAAAGTGGAGGTGACATTTGCTCGGAGTCCTAGTATAGAAATACAATGCTCCGTTTTCATTACTGGACAGTTCGAGGGAAGGTGTCCGAAAGCCCTGAAATTCATTCCCTTATTATGTGCCACCTGCTGAAACCTAACCCTGCACCAAGTGACTGAAGGAAAGCAGTAGAAGTAGAATCATTAGAGGAAGTTGGCACTCATTAAAGGTGGAACACAAGTTGCGGAAAAGTCCATCCAGCCCACGGTTTTCAAAGGCATAGTGCCAGATTTCTATGCACTCTTCCGAGCAGCCTAGCTGGCCTGCTCCCGCCTTCTTTAGTCGCTTATTGGTCAGTGAATGACTGACAGACACCTCGACCAATCGGTTGGTTCCTCTGTCCCGCACGCTTCTTTCAGCCGGGTCTTTGGTGCCTCGAGCGAGATGCGGGCACAGTGCGTCGACGTCAGCGTGCTGACGTCACGGGCCGGGTACTGGAGGAGGTCGCTGGAGGCTGGCTGGGGCGGTGGGCTGCGCGCCGCTTGCTGGGCTGGGTCCCGCGCCCAGCCCGCCGAGTCCCGGCCCTCGGCTCCGCGGTCCCAGGCGGGCGAGACCACGGAGCCACAGTCTCCAGGCCAGCCTGAGGCGGCTAGCCGGAAACCACCCGATGAGGTAGGTTGGGTTTCTAGTCACCGCATATGACAGGTTGGAAAACTGAGTCCCTGAGGTCAAGTGACCTGCCCAAGTCTCAGAAGAGACAGCGGACGCAGGCCCTTGGCTGGTGGTCGCGCTCTGTTTGCTGAGCCCGGCGCGAACCCAGAGGGAGGAGGAGGGGCAAGGCAGATTGTGTTTATAATGGATGCAAAAGTGAACTTAACAGAATACTGCGTTCCACTGCTCTGGGGCTTGGGCAGGGTTTCAGGGATGGATACAGATAGTGAGGCCCATTCTCCACCCTGTATACCCCAGCTTAGGCCCTCCTGAGAGACCAAGCACGGTGACTAGGGATGATGCATGGCTAACCCAGACACAGTTGGTTGTATACAGGCCTTTTGTATTCATCAAGAAAAGCCGTGTTCAAAACAAAACAAAATAAAAATCCACGCATGAGTCGTGAATGTTCTGGCTGTGGTTTTAGTTCACTGCTTTGCCCACTCATCTTGTCTTTTTTTTTTTTAAATCTCAGTGGCGTGCCTACTTTGATTTAGGGTTAGAAAGGGATATATTCTCATTCTTTTTTCTTTCTCTCTCTCGCTGTTGAAATGAGTTGATATCGTGGAACTTTTCTGACCATTTTTTTAATTTGGCAATTGTTCATCTCATTTGTCTTCTGTTTCACAGATGGAATCAACTGAATTCAACGACTTAACTTATGAGTAGTTTGGATAAATTTAATAAGGTAACAAAGTAACAGGTCTAATTTTTCAATACACTGGGTTAGTCCAGTGTGTTATATCAAATTTCTTTGAAAGAGTTCTAAAGGTAATTCCTATCTATATTCCTCTATGCTCTTCCTTTGTCTACAAGCAGGATTTGTCTACTCAGAGACGACTAGATAAATGTATGGATTCTGATAAGATGTTGGGTCATCGTGCTCACAATGTATGAATGTGTACTGTACAGTGTAAAGAATAATATGCGTACGGATGCAATGTACTGTTAGGAACAATTCATTCTCTTTAAAATCTTGCTGTCTCAGACCTAGACCTTTTAAGATTGCATGATTACATTGTAGAAAACTGCATTAAAGAAATGAAATTAAAACAGCCTCTGAGAACTTAATGTTCATGGTGATTATTGTCAATTGAATTTATTTTTTGGACAGATTATCTGATGAACGTCTGTCTATGCCACACATTGTTTTAGCTGTTGGGAACTGGGTAATTGAAAGGTAGAGATAAGGTGTCTGCGCTAAAAGACCTTAGATATTGCTGGGGATAAAATAGACATGTGCTGGGTGCTGATGGCTCATGTTTGTAATCCTGCCTATTCAGGAGGCAGAGATCAGGAGGATTGCAGTTTGAGGCCAGCCTGTGCAAGCAGTTCTTGAGATCCTGTCTTGAAAAAACCCATCACAAAAAAGGGCTGATGGAGCATCTCAAGGTGTAGGCCCTGAATTCAAACTCCAGTACCGCAAACAAAAACCAAAAAAAAAACAGACATGCAAACTAAAAAATAATTTTAGATAGTAATATATGCTGGAAAAGCAAGGAGTAAGACACTTGAGTGTGGCCAGGGTTTGTGAAGAAATTTACATATGGTGGTCAGGGAAAATGTGTTTCCCTGAGGAAGTGATGGTTTGGGAGAGACCTGAATGTTTAGTTAGCCATGGGAAGCTTCCAGTAACAGTATAAAGGAGCTAAAGGAAGAATGAGCTTGTCATCCATAGGTGGGAGGTCATTATGGCTGGAGCAGAGTGAACCTAGAGGAGAGTGAGGTGGGAGGACTGTGATGGGTGGTACATCATCTGTATCCAGAGTGGGAATTTCAGACAGGTTAAGTAAAGGTAGTTTGTATATTGCAAAGTCTTTGTTTTCCTTTAGAGATACTCAAAGACTAACCACCTTTCTGATTTATTTTGGTTATGAAATAATTGCAGTAATTCATTATATTTACACACACATATTTGTCCAGGGATCCTCTTAATGAAAAAAAAATGCTTGTTTCCTGTAGCACTGTGTCCCATGCAGTTATTTTCCTTTTTATTGTAATTACATACAGGAGTCAAAATCTCTGCTTACCTTCAGCTCCTACTTTTATTGCCCTACTCCCAGCCATGAATCCTCTCCAATATTGTCTTTACCTGCTTGCCATTTGAAAAACACATAGAGCAGTTAGTCCCTGCTCTATCCAAGCAAATTCTAGGAAAGTCCAGGATTAAGCACATTATCCTTTCCATTAGAACTTGTGTTACTGACCAGGGACACTCTCTCTTTATTTAATGTTTACAAAATGCCAGGTACATTGCATACATTCTGATTCTTCCACCGTTTTGCAAAAGTAAATATTAAACCTTTTGTCAGCTAGTACTGATGAAACTCATTAAGGCCATTAGGTAGTACTGATGGAGCTCAGTAACCTTAGCATTCTTCCCCATCTCCTGCTTCCCTGAGTGTATAACAGCACCTACAGATCTTTGTTATTTAAAATTTGTTTCATGACATGGCACTTTAGAGATGTGACTTGACCCTCTCAGTTTAGAGGTAGGTCTGTGGAACTCAGAGTATATAAAATGTACTATCCGTAAACTCATAAAAGATAATTTTTAAAAAATGAGACAGTACTTCTTGGGTTAAAATAATCCTTTGCTTTATTTGCCTTCTCTTTCTTAGACAACGTGTAGATGTAAACTCTAAATGCATCCTTGGTTTTGTTAGAAAGGAGGCTGTGGTTTAAAAAAAAAAGTCTTTTTAATGCCAGGTACATTGGTGTACACCTGTAATCCCAACTACGCAGGAAGTTGAGGCAGTAGGATCTCAAATTTGAGGTGAACTTGGGCAACCTAGCCAGACCCTGCCTCAAAATATAAATAAGTAAGTAAATAAATAAATAAGGATGATATTGTAGCTCAGTCAGTAGATGTCTAGTACAGGGGAACAAAAGACATTTAAAATTTTATTAGAGATGTGACTTGACCCTTCTCAGTTTAGAGTAGTCTGTTGGAACTCAGAGTATATAAAAATGTACTATCCGTAAACTCATAAAGATAATTTTTTAAAAAATGAGACAGCTACTTTTGGGTTAAAATAATCCTTTGCTTTATTTGCCTTCTCTTTCTTAGACAACGTGTAGATGTAAACTCTAAATGCATCCTTGGTTTTGTTAGAAAGGAGGCTGTGGTTTAAAAAAAAAAGTCTTTTTAATGCCAGGTACATTGGTGTACACCTGTAATCCCAACTACGCAGGAAGTTGAGGCAGTAGGATCTCAAATTTGAGGTGAACTTGGGCAACCTAGCCAGACCCTGCCTCAAAATATAAATAAGTAAGTAAATAAATAAATAAGGATGATATTGTAGCTCAGTCAGTAGATGTCTAGTACAGGGGGAACAAAAGACATTTAAAATTTTAAGTCGTAATTTCAGAACTATTTGAGAAGGATTTAAAATTTGTTAGCATTTTTTCAGCTTCAGTTTTATTCTTAGAAATGTGGCAATATTACTAGAGTTTGTTGGCTCATAGGTTTTGGTAGCAGGTGAAGTTCTTCTCATAATTGAGGATGTCCTTGAGTTAGCCCAGTGATGTAATTTCTTTTTCTTAGGAGTATGTTAAAAAATAAGTAGAAATCAGCTTACAAATTACTTGGTTGAGAAGTAGTTGTATGTGGTCCTAAAATTGAAAAATAAGCACTTTTTAATTCTAAGGTTTGTTTATTTTATTGATCAGGCTGTATTAGCTAAATAATGGCATTGTAATAAATAGGGAGCTAATAAATTACGTTCTGAAGGAATTTTTAACCAAGTATCTTAATGGAAATTATCTTTTCCATTAGTCAAGTTAGAATAATATTAATGGAATTAGCATCTTGTTTCTTAAATATTGAAAGAAATTTAAGCTTAGGCAAAGGAGTGCTTTTGTTTTCAAATGAAATTCCACACCTGGATATTTTGACTAAGTATCTCTTTAAGTCCTTTAAGATTGTTCTTGCAACTGATTTCTCCATTCTAAAAATACAGGCTGTTATGATTTGACATATTTTAGGGATGTCCATCCTCAGTGAACACTGTGCCCCAAATTAGACTCCAGGCTTTTATGTTGAGCTTTTTAGCTTTAGTATATTGTATGTATTCTTCCTGGCATGCCCTTTGGATGGATGACTAGCTGGTCAAACTTATACCTGTCTTCTGTCCCTCTAAGTTCACTCAAGTGCTGGATTTTCTGTATAAAATATTTTCTGTGTCTCTTTAATGGAAACTTTGTATTTTCACAGCACTTTCTGGAGTCTTTCTCTGCAGTGCAGTTTACCAATCTTGTTATCTTGGGTAATGCATTATGGTATGTATGGGGGTCTTCAAATCTGTATTGACTTTTACTTAAAAGATATAACAATCTTTGTTATACATGCAGTGTTTTCTTGCAGATTGTAGAGGCCTCTAGTTTTATTTACACTTTAATTAACTCATCTTTGAGAGAAGCACAGGTAGGCTTTTCTTGGCTTTGGTTCAAAAGAGCCTCTCTCCTGTTTCAGTTAAGGTTCTGATTTACAGTCACCAGGGAGTCTCTTGAGATGCTTGGACTATAAATGTTGAGGGCATATTGCCCTCAAAATCATTGGCCTTTGTGTTTATGTTATTGAAAAATAGTAACAGTGATTTTAATATTATACATGAGGAAACTTAGACTCTGAGAGGGTAGTGTGGGAGCCCTTTGCTACTTGAATGTTGGGCTGAGACACGGTCAGCACCTAGGGCTCATGGCAATAGGGTACTGATACAGGCCTTGTATCAGAACTCCTGACAGCCTCTTAAGTGATGTATCTAGCTGTGTGACTTGACCTGGATCGAGAAGATCCTTCTTGTCCTGAATCAAGATCAAAGTCTGTACTCTCATCTAGAATCCCAGATTCTGAGGTATTTTCTCTTCCTGGACAGGCATTGGAGTAGTGGTGGACTTAGTTCTCTTTAGTTTAAAATCTGTCTCTTCTACTTTCTCTCTAGTCACAGTTTTCCAAAAAA